GACGAAAGGTGTCCGATTTCTTGATGCACTGGAGGAGGATAGACGGGCCCGTGTACCAGCATCAGTTACTGTCATGGCAACTGTTGCTGAAGAGTCATTCATACCGCCAACACCGCCTGCAGATCGAACCCATTTTGAGGATCAAAAGTTGGACAATGCTTCCAGTGAAACAGGCTCACGTGCCTGGACAACTGATAAGGGCACCAGTGTCACGAGTTTGGCGACGTCAGATTCCACTGAAGGCGGTTGCAACTCGCTCGGGCCCTGGGCTCGGCGCATGTCGTCTCTCACCGCACAAACCAACCACGCTCCTTTGACAAGCTCTGACCAAAGCGGAAATCCACAAGGCAGCTTGCAGAGCCACCGCTTGTCTGCAGGAATGGCGCACAGAGTTTCACTTGCTGGGCCATCCCCCTTATCACGACCACACCATCTGGTCTCTGAACGCCTCAGCCGCAGTCATGACAAATTTCTCTCACACCTTGGCTCGTTCATCGGCAGACTACACCTACAGTCACAATCACGACCGGAGTTATCATTCGCCATCAAGCAGTCGGCTACTTCGGGCGGGGAACTACTTGCGGTGATGGATCGAGTATGTGCTTACAACAACTCCAGTGTGGCCTCTTTGAGTAAGGCTCGCATGTCTATGTTTGAGCGTATCCGTATTCTTGTCATTTCAGCACGAGATACGCTGGCCAACGCTGCGACAGAAGGTGCGGATTTGATCATGCCACAAGACAATGGAATATTGCTTATGGCTGCCACTGGATGTGTCAGAGTAGCCGGCGAATGTGTTGCTAAAACGAAAGCTGCTATTGAACGCGTTGGAGACTTCGAATTTGAGCTTGAAGGCTTTTCTTTGGGTATTGATTTGAGCATCCTTGATATTGCAGAAGAACGGGCTAGAACACCTTCGGTTGCCGAACGATCAGACGTGGTTAGCAGCACTGCCGAATCATTTCAGACGTGTGAATTGTCTGTTGCAGCACCACGACGACTTGTTGCTCCTGCCGCCACTGACAAACCGCTTCCACGAGTTCCTCGTCTCAGCATTCCTGAGAACATAGTTCGCCAATGCAGCTCTCCTATTTCTTCTCGACCCTGTTCCATACACGACGACAATGCTTCCAGCGTTGCTTCTTCAGTCTCATCGATTCGTCCAGCATTGCCGACACCACTCAAACCCGCCAATACACCAAACCATTCTGAACAGAGCGAGTCGGGTATTGACACCTCGAGAATAGAACAGGAACAGCATGCTGCTCGCTTTGACGCCCTAATTGCCTCAAGTGCGGGAAGCAGCGGTACATATCTGAGCAGGGACTCGGAGGCGAGCGTTGCGTCACAGACTTCTACACGCGCAACGACTCCGGACCACCTCGGACCTCGTAACCAACCATCTATGTCAGACATGAGTGTTACGGGGAGCTTATCACAAACGGACGAACATGATGATTTGGAAACGAGGCTCTTGGAGAAGACTTTTGCTCATGAGCTTATGTTTAACAAAGAGGGCCAAGTGACAGGCGGCTCGCTCCCAGCTCTGGTTGAGCGCTTGACAACGCATGAATCCACACCAGATGCCACTTTTGTGTCGACCTTCTTTCTCACTTTTCGTTTGTTCTGCACGCCAATTAAGCTCACGGAGGCTTTGGTCGAGCGTTTCGACTACGTTGGCGAATTCCCTCACATGGCTGGTCCAGTCAGACTCAGGGTCTATAACGCGTTCAAGGGGTGGCTTGAATCACATTGGAGAGACCAAACTGATCGAGAGGCTTTGAAATTAATTATCCCTTTTGCCGAGTTGAAGCTTACTTCTGTTCTTTTATCTGCTGGGCGCCGATTACTAGAACTGGCCAAGAGGGTTTCTGGAGAAGGCTCCCTCGTCCCGCGGCTTGTATCGTCGATGGGCAAGACAAACACATCTATTGCGCAATATGTGCCTGCAGATACTCCTCTTCCTCACCCTGCAATCTCTAAGAGCCAACAACACTTGCTCACTGCTTTTCGAACTGGGGGCAATGGGCCAACTCTGCTTGACCTCGACCCTCTTGAGGTCGCGCGACAACTGACGATCAAACAAATGAGCATATTTTGCTCCATTTTGCCGGAAGAGCTACTGTCATCACAGTGGATGAAAAAGGGTGGCGTGGATGCCCCGAACGTGAAGGCTATGTCAGCTTTGTCAACGGATCTTTCTAATCTGGTTGCTGAAACCATTCTTCAGCACTCTGAAATCAAGAAGCGTGCCGCAATTATAAAGCAGTGGATCAAGATAGCCCATCAGTGTCTTGAACTTCATAACTACGATGGCCTCATGGCTATTATTTGCACCCTGAATAGCAGTACAATTAGCCGACTGCGCAAAACATGGGATGCCATATCTACCAGGAGGAAGGAGATGCTTCGGCATTTGCAAGGGATTGTAGAGCCCGCGCAGAACAATAAGGTCTTGCGCACTCGGCTTCATGACCATGTGCCACCATGCCTTCCTTTTCTCGGAATGTATCTGACCGACTTGACCTTTGTTGACATTGGTAACCCTGCCACCAAGCAAATGTCCCTTGGTACGGATGGCGAGGAGGATGGATCTGGCGGTCTGACTGTGGTCAACTTTGATAAACACACACGTACCGCTAAAATCATCGGCGAGCTGCAGCGTTTTCAGATTCCCTATAGACTCATGGAAGTCCCCGAGATGCAGGACTGGATTAACGCACAGATCCGCCGCGTGCGCGAGGGTGACCAGGGAAATGTCCAGGTTACCTACTACCGGAAGAGCCTACTACTCGAACCTCGAGAGAGTGCTCCTCGACGAGATGCAGAACCCCCGACTCCTGTCACCTCTGGGGCAGGACCCTCTAGAGGAGACCTCTTTGGGTGGATGTCGCGTGATCGAGGTCAAACGCCAACTCCGGCTCAGGGCTAACCAACCACCCGGATCATCTGCCACCGCGGACGCTGTTCTGTAGCCGAGAACGGCAGTGCCTTTTAACATGCATCTTACAGCTCAAGATGAATGTCTTATTCACTTCTTTTTCTCACTCTACGCGCATTTTCTTACTAGTACCCAAGTCTTTCTCCTCTTGATACCCCTGTTTCCTACGACATATTTTGAATTTTTATAGTTTAACTTGTTTGCCTCCTTTATTACAGTCGGAGTTGATAATTGGTGCTTCACTTGCAGCCTACATTGGCGTATAGGACCTATTTGATTCACTTTTTCTTCATTCACCATAATGGCGTTATTTGTTCTGGGCTTCTGTCAGCCCTCATGATTTGCGGCTGCACAGTTATGGGCATGAAAGCTCGATATATCAGAAGGAGTCTTTTTATTTGGCATGGGCGATGACTCTGCATCCTGCCGCAACCTCAGCATCGCATGGGCCTTGATAGGTCAATTTTGACTAGCAAAAGTGCTGCAGCGCAGCACATTATTTGCTGACTCAACAAACGGGCCTCGAATTCAGGTCGGACTAGGGAAGACGGTGTGACATGCGTGGTTTTTGCACCGTTTCTGGCTATGGGTGTGATAAAAAAAGTTTTTTTTTTTTTTTTTTTTTTTTTTTTCAGACACGTGGGCTCGGCGTTGAAGGATTACAAGCATGATGCTGGTTCGTTCGATTTTTGAGCGCCAAGTTCTTCTGGTCATATTCTAGGAAAAGGAGCGGGATTGGACTGAACGAAAGCTCCCAGGAGAAAATGATTGTGTGCCCTGCGCGGACTGGTTTTGTTGCCCAACAAAGAAGGTAGCCTCCTTTGTATTATGTATCTAGCTTGGACGATGATGAAAGAGGAATGCGTAGGGGTTGAGAAAACCGATGGCGGAAAATGGAACAGAACTTGAACATTTCTCCCTCCTCTTTCAACATCCTCGCGGTATAATTTGATTCATTCGAATGTCTTGAACAATACGAATCCAGCAATGCCCAATTTTGGCACGCTTGTATAGGCCACTATGGGCGAGAGGCTTCTCAGGGTCCGGAAGATACAAGTTCACTGTCATTGTATCGAAGTTCTCGTCTTGTCAGAATTGTGGTGGAAGGCTCGGTAAAGTGTGACTCTATTTATTGCGTATTGTGGGTTGTGATGTTCGAGTTTCTGTTCCAAAGGCATCTATCTGGTGGTTGGAGACATTGGCTGCTTTGAATACTTTGGTTCTTGAAATGGCACGCGTCCTATCCACAACTAAATATATCCGAGTACATCCAGATGCGGACACAATATCTGTATACGCTCGCGGTCCTCTCCAATACGCTCGCGGTCCTCTCCAATACGCTCTCTGCGATTCCTTTATATGCATGTAAGCTTACTGCCCTTTGCCCGAGTGCTGAATGAACGGCTTGCCTTGCCGACAGCGGAGTAAGACGGTGCAATGGAGTGAAGTAGCGAAGCTTCCAAATATTTCACTATGATGACTATAGCCCGGAGTCTAAAAAGCGAGATGCCTCTATGTAGTAGTTATATTAAGTGACCGGTGGCGCCACCAGCGGGCACAGGGTAGGCCAGCAGCTGCGGTTAGATTGTGGAGTCGTCTTGGCTGGACAACAGCCTCCACTCCTATTTTGCAGTAACCCCACGTACCCAGCCAGATTGGGTACTTCAGTAAGTTAAATAGCTGGCTGCTATCGACCACCGTTGAACATCCGAAGCTCGTCGATCGCATTCAAGATTGTCCTCTGGACACCGGTTTTCTCATGGAGGCTTCGCCACTTACTCGCCAGCCTCCGCCAGAGGTATTTACGCCCAAAATTGTAGAGCTATACTCGGCTCTATTCAAGGTTTGACGCAGCTCCCTCTTTGCGTGGCCATCTGATACTGACTGGTGCATTCAAGGTACGACAGCGCAATTACATCTGCGTGCAACTCCGCTCCCTGGACTGACCCAGAGACTCTGACAGGAGGATGACGACGCCGAAGAAAAGTCGGACGGCTTCTGGACAGAATTCTTTCTACTGCGACCAGAGCGCCAGAGCCTGCGAGCCTTGCTGAACGAAATGTCACCCGCCGACGTTATAACATTCGAAGGCCGAACGAGGGAGCTTTTTGGGAAGGCTATAGTCACTGTAAAAACAGGCCAAGGTCTTGCTCCTCTGCGCGCATTAGACGTACGACACTAGATTGGCAATGCACAACATATGGTTCTAACCTTTGACAGACCTTGGGCATCTTCCTCTCGTGTCTCCTCTCCAAGAAATATCCTCATCCTAGCTCCGACATCATCGCCATCCTCGCTGGACTCGACCATATCGACGCTGTTTTCACAGACTTTGTAAGCACACTAGATGCAATAGTTCGAAATGGGGAAAACCGTAAGAATGACGAGTACAACCTAGTCAGGGCCACGGGCTGACTCTGCAGAGCAGTCACTGTACGCCACAAAGCCATCGAGGTACTGCTTGCCGTAACCGCAGGCGCATACCAAACAAGTCTTCTCACGTATATGATACAAAGAGATTTATTCCCAGCTGTTATGAAGGTAAATTATGTGAGACTTCTAGAGTGTTGGCCCCAGCATTTCTGACCATGGAACGTGGGATAGTTTGTGCAAGACTCAGAGACTCCGGGACAAGTGTTGGAGCCGTTTATTCTGTTGGGTCTACTGGCAAACTATAACAAATTTGAGTTCCAAAATCCATACCAGCTCAGGTTCAACGATTTCGTCAATGAAGACACCATTCAAAAAACTATCCGATGCATCGGTTACACTTGCCAAGCTCTTCGGTTAGACTACATCGACATTCAAGACGATTTACCAGAAGGCTGGACATTTAGCAATACACTGAACCTGATTGGGTTTGGTCTAATAATTCGTGGCTCAAAGCCAGAAAAGAAGCCCGTCCATGACGCCGAAACAGCGAAACAACTGTTCTCCAACCTGTACGCCTGCACATATTCTGCTATACACATCATGAGACACTAATTTTTGTAGGCCTAGCGAGAATGCGGCCGCCCTTCTCGCATCCTATGATTTTGCACATGCCAATAAACTTTTCTGCTTCAACTTTGTGTCACTTCCAGGAGAGAATGACGGTGAACGACCAATTGCAAGCTACTTGTCACTCACGTCTTATCTGCTTCAACACGCTCATCTTTCCCACCGGGCTACTTACTACGCGCACCTGAACCTCATGGTATTTCGCTTACTGATTGAAGATTCAGTTGTTTGCAAAAAAATTTGCGACGAAGTAAAGGCTTCTGTTCGACTGTGTCGACACCGGCAACCATTCTTGCCGCTTGTGAAAACAGAGCGAGTCCTCGCAGCCAGTGTCCTTGACTGCATGATCGATGGGATCAACCATAATCTTCGTCGACGACTGGATGTTAGCCTATACACTTTGTGTCTGGGAATATTATTACGAATTATTTCTCACCTCTCTCGCTCAAGAACGCGCCTGGCCTATCATTGGTCAGAATTCTTTAGATCTCTACTGTCACTGGTCCGCTTCTTGGCAACCTACACTTCAGACCTGAAGGGTTTAACTCATATCAACACACTGCTAGACCATGTTGTCAACCTGCTAGCACTCTCTCTGTCTGCAGGCGAAGCATTCTTGCCATCGCCTGCCGCTTATGACGACCTGTTTTACAAAGTGGTTGAATCCGGCGAAGTGCTGACCAAGTTCAAAGAAAACTATGGTCTTGAGAATCGCAAGAGCAATTCAATTGACACATTGATTAGTGTCAGTACCCATTACAAGCAGCTGCTTGCCGGGGGAGGTGGCTCCTCCAAAAAGAAACCGAGCCATCTCACGACACAACAGGTCACAGAAGTCATTAAACAGGGGTATGAAACGCTGAGCATACAGGCGAAGGAAGGCCTGGATACTTGGGATAACTTTCGAGAAGCAGACGAGAGAACGCTTTTGAAAAAGGTGGCAAGGGCATCAGTTGGTGATGTGAGAGTCATGGTAGAAAGGCATACTCAGTAAGAAATTATGGAGAGCCATCTTTTTTTTTTTTTTTGGGGGGGGGGGGAGGACCATGTATTGACATGATAAGGGAGACTTTTGGATAGGTTACCTTGACTCCGGGACCCTTTGCCACTAAAATATCGCAAGTTAGATTGTGAAGAATACCGGGCAATGCCAAAAGTATAAAGCTGACTTAAATGGAACGGAACGTCGTGGCCTTGGCCTGGGTGTTTTACAACACAAAAAAGCGGGATCCACGATTCTGGAACATTGAACTCATTCCGTTTAGCACCATATAATTCAAGGGACTCGGGTACTTTAACATAACCATCTCTTCATATTGAAGCCTTCTTTATTTTAACCCGCGTATTCTCATCTCACTACTCGTAGTAGTACTTCTTTAGAGGCTGTGGAAAGTGTCCATGCCTTCTTTTTTTTTTTTTTGGGGGGGGGGGAGGACCATGTATTGACATGATAAGGGAGACTTTTGGATAGGTTACCTTGACTCCGGGACCCTTTGCCACTAAAATATCGCAAGTTAGATTGTGAAGAATACCGGGCAATGCCAAAAGTATAAAGCTGACTTAAATGGAACGGAACGTCGTGGCCTTGGCCTGGGTGTTTTACAACACAAAAAAGCGGGATCCACGATTCTGGAACATTGAACTCATTCCGTTTAGCACCATATAATTCAAGGGACTCGGGTACTTTAACATAACCATCTCTTCATATTGAAGCCTTCTTTATTTTAACCCGCGTATTCTCATCTCACTACTCGTAGTAGTACTTCTTTAGAGGCTGTGGAAAGTGTCCATGGCGGTGGGAGATTTTCAGACCGTAGAAGTGGTTTCGCCAATGGTAATTCGCAATTCCTTTATACGAAGCATTAGACAAGAACATATTGTATTGCCAAGAAGTGAAGCATTTTGACCAAAAGATCTCTCCCTCCGAGAGAGCCCGCGGAGTCACTTTAAAGAAGTCTAGAATAGACTTCAGTGGAGAGAGAGAGAGAGAGAGCGCCCACATACACGTGGTTAGGACTGACAGATGCCTCTAAGCACTACAGAGTACTCCCTTGTTCACATCCGGCGAGGATACAGTTGTCTCCACAAGGGATGACACTGTCTCGAAATAGACTCCGGGGGACCAAGGGGGAGGGAGAGACGGATCTGGGGACGGAGCCGATCTTGATGCAACCCTGGGACTCGGTGTTCTGCAACCCCGCCGCCCCGTGAAGCGAAGCGGCCCAGTTGCTCAACCGAGCAACATACTCGCGCTAAGAGAGTACTTGACTCTTCATCATTGCTGATGCAGGCACTCAAGCCCAACTACCTAGTACCTGCCTACCTAGACCTAGGTAGGTGTGTAGCTGGCCGTCTCGGGGGTTGCGGCTGCTGTTAATACCATACTTGCTCCATATGCCTAGAGCTGCCCAATCCAAGGTTTTCTCGGCGGGCGGTTGAAAATCTAGAAGCACGCAATGTTTGCTGACCAAGCCAATACCATGAATGGATATCTTTCGTTTGTAATACCTATTATGGATTGTGAGCGTGATGAGATTGAACTTGACATTTTGAAAGGCGCAGACGCGTGGGGCGGGCTCGCTCTGGAGAGTCTAGGGCGCGCTTGACAATTTTGACTTCCGGCAAGCACAACACAACAAACGCAGGTTTCTGCGTACCGGAGACACGCATGCAACATTGCAGTTGTGCATCTGCCGTCGAAGCTACACGGAGCGGACCTCTACCATTTTGCTGCTCATTCTTCAATAAACTTTCTCTTTCTAGAAAATTCTAGCGTCACGAGAAACCGTTTCCATCTTTTGAGAGCTCATGCACAACAGTGAACACCACATTTGGGACAGCACCTTGGCGGTTCTGGGGTCATATTACCAAAGGCATGGCCAACACGACAGATCAGCAAGGAAAAATAAACGTACTTCGTTCCATTGGTCCCAATCAAGCATCATTTGATGTGGTATCTAATAGCTAATGTTGTACAGCAGAAAATGTATCAACCAAAGAATCACCCGCCCGCTATGAAAGTCATCATAGTAAATAGACTACTCGGCAAACATGGTTTCAACGGACAGGTTTGGTCACTCCGTAAAGAGACCAGCAGCTGTTCTTGAGCCGATGACGCGCGACAATACTCCTCGTTGAGAACACATATACACAAAATGACACCACCTTGCCACCTTAGAAAGTGTGGTGAAGAATTCTTCGCCAAGCTGGCCACGAGGCAACCTTGGCTCGGTAGGCGTTGATTTCATCCCAGTCCAACTCTCGGCGGCCAGTATCAACATCCATCTGCTCAGTTCGGAGCCATCCAGTTCGCTTCCAGAGGTACCCAACTACCCAGAAGAACATGACAACGGGGAAGGCTAGATACGACTTGAAAAAACCCTCAGCAGTGCCAATACCAGATTCTCCGGGAGGAGCCACGATAGCGGTGTAGAACTGAAACGAAGACATTGTAAGTAAGTTGATGTCCATATCCAACACCGTTTTGAGAGTTGGTTTCTTACCTGAGCAATCAGGACGAGAATGCAGAGAGCGAGTCCGAGCCAAGAGCCATAGACACCCCCAATAGCCTTGAAAGGGATCTCATCCAAAGTGTGACCGTGGTACTTCCACGCCTTGCGGAATCGAATATGGGCCAAGCAAATTGAACCCCAGGTGAAGATAGCTGCAAGTCCGGACAAGGCTAGAAGCCAGTCAAAGACAACAGGGCCCTTATTATTTAAGCTCACAAACCCGAGGAATCCGCAAAGAATAATGGCAATAACGGAGAAGAGGGGGCGACCTGACTTATCAATATAAGTGAATACCTGGGGAGCATAGCCCTGCTGGGCCAAAGCGGTCAGAGTGCGAGAGCCTCCATATACACCCGAGACACCAATTGACAAGACAGAGACTAGGATTGTCAAGTTCATAAAATGGTCAAATCCCGTAAGTCCAGCATATTTGCCAACCAAAACAAAAGGCGAAGTCTTCACATCGCTAAAGGCTTGCGACGAGAGCAGCGAAGGGTCATTGCTGTTGATGAGAAGGCCAACAAAGAACAGACCCAGGATATAAAATACCGTGATACGCCAAAATACCTGCTTAATGGCGCTTGGCAGAGACTTGACAGGGTTCTTAGCTTCGGCAGCAGCAAGACCAACCAACTCGGTTCCAGAAAAGGAGAAGGCAGCTGTGACAAAGACAGCGCAGAAGCCCTTAAAGCCGTTCTTAAAGGCACCTGGGTCATACCAATATCTGGCGCCCCAGTACTCATTATATCGGCCGTCCTTAGGTCCACCGCCAAGTACGAGGACAAAGGCAATAATCATGAAGATAACAGTCGCGAGAAGCTTAAAAACAGAGGATACAAACTCCTCTTCAGCATATCCCAGGGCACCAAATAGGTTAATAATAATAATCGCAGCAAGGAATACGGCAATCCAAACACCGACCGAGATGTCTTCGTTCCAGTATTGAATAGTCAGGCCGCAGACCGTGAGTTCAAGTGGCAAGACAACGGCCCATTGGAAGACATAGTTCCAACCCATTGCAAAACCCCAGGAAGGGTCAATAAAGCGGGTTGAGTAGGTATAGAAGGCACCAGAAACGGGATACATGACAGCGAGTTCACCTAGAGCATACACTGTGCACAGCATAATCCATTAGTACACATTTAGAAACCACAGAAGGCTTGGGAACTAATCTCAGGGTGACAGAGAGAAGCAACACGATCATTCACTTACCGACGTTGAACATCATGATACCAATGATCAAGAAGTCGAGAAAAAGACTTCCAGGGCCCTGGCAAAGTGTCAGTCAGCTTGGATAGCTCTCACTTAAGAGAGAAGGGGGGGTGTCCATTATTGGCCAGCGGGCTCAGTGTACAAAGGAAACTTACGCCTTTACTCAAAGCACCGCCGGAACCAACGAAGAAACCAGCGCCGATAGAACCACCAATAGCAATCATATTCAGATGCCTGGGTTTCATAGGGCGTTCCAGTTCGACGAAGCCGGTACCATAATGGGCTTTCTTCAAAGATTCCAGATTCAAACCATTGCGGGTCATGAAATTTGGGTCACGCTCGATCGTGGTTGATTTAGGGATCACTTGGCTAGTACCCTCCAGGGCAGTCGTATGGCCCTTCTCCATGGCACTGGAGTCAATGGGTTCGTCTTTGGACGACATGGTGTCTGGAGTTTGTCGTTGTACTGGTTCCTTGCCTCCTACTGTTGAAAGAGCTCGGCAAGCTCGCAAGACCTCAAGGCCAGAAGCAAAATATGGAAAGGGAAAATAATGAAGAGGAGAGGAATACAGAGCAAGAGAACGATAAGCTAAGAATTGAGGGAGGCCGGTCCTTTAAAGAGGGAGAGACAGAGAGAGAGGAAAGGGCGAGCTTCTGGAAGGATACAATGGACCCAGCCTGGAGGGTACGAAAGTCGATTCAGACCTACCTTTGGGAGGGGGGTGTGAGTGTTGGCCCAGCATATATTTTGCCAAGGAACATGGCACCAGATCTGGCCCTTGGGGCTGAGGCAATTCGGGGGAGGGGCTGACAGGGATTCAGGATGAGAAGAATAATAGAAGCTACAGGGCGGGAAGCTCCCAAATGGACTCAGGAGGCTTTCTCAAGGGTGCACGAAGTATTACAAGTTGGGGGCCGGTGACTTTAAAGGGCAAGTTAAGGGTCGACTACCCAGGGCGTGGTACTGTTCAAAAAAGAGGAATTTCAACATGGATACGATAGTGCTTGTTCAAGACACGTTGAATGGAGCTTGTAAAGTCTTTGCATAAGGTAAGACAAGATGAGATATGACCTCGACATAGCCCGACTAGCTGGACTAGCCCCTCACAGCATACCAATTCTAAACGACGAGTGGCGATGGGAGTGTGTAAGTAACAACCAGATGGTGCGGCTGGAGGACAAGGAGTTGTTGATTTGCATGACGGGAAATGATCTGGAAGCGAAGAAGACGCCTGCAAGCAGATTCAACCAAGACGGTCGAGGCGCCAAA